AAGTTCCTTGCCCGCAAAATCACGGAGAACTGGTAATAGAAGCCTGTTTAATGTGATTCCAATCACAACCCATCTTTTTTGTTTGTCATCCAAATCAAAGCTGCTGACTGTATGAAATTTCAAAAGAAAACAACAGTTTTTGCCAAAGATTGAAATAGATCTCACTTGAAATGTAGGTTAGCATTGAACTTTAAGATTTTAGGTTTACAATTGTAAGCATTTGGGGAAATCTCACCATTGGCTTTGAGGAAGTTGCTAATTTCACAGACTATGAATACTCCTTAGTCTGTCAAGCAAGCAATATATACCCAATCATTCTATGATTCACCTAATACCCCATTTTACCACAATAGGGCAGTGGTACACATAAAACATGCCCCAGTATTACACTGTTGAATGGGGAAAAAAATCCAGAAAATTAAGTGATATTGGAATAATAACATTCCTGCCTCAACTTCACCATATGCTAAGTGCAGGCACAAATATGAGATTGGGCATGCAGGAATTGGCCTTACACTCCTTGTTCTCTCCAATTGGCACCTGAAATAAGCTTGTTTTCTTGCTGGGGCTTTTAATTACAAAGAAGTAAGAACCATTCATACTGATCATGTGACCTTCCATGTAGTTATTTCACATGGATCCTGCCAAGTATATATTTTCATGAATTTCTTACAAATTCATTTCACAGAATGCGATCAAGGTCTAGGAAAAACATGTAATCAGAACATGGCTAAAGACAGTGATCGGGAGTGGGGGGGTTCTTTCTAGTAATAGGCTAAAGGTCATATTACATTTTAAGTAGAGTTACAAGAATAGTGATTAGATGAAACACCAAAAATAAACTAATATCAAGATCCTTAGGAAGGTATTCTAACACTCTGCAACCAGTATTTCATCAGTTTGGGAAGAACTTTGGCTTACAACATAAGACTAAAAGTAATAAAGCTATAAAAAGCTAGACAAAACCAAAAGCTACAAATGAAGACAATTATGTAATAACTTGTAATCCTGGTGCCTACAAAGGTTGTTTTGTGTATGCAACCCCTGTCACTCTTTATCAATGATTCCATACAAAACAGGTAATCTTGCTTAGAATTAATGTTCATTGTGTATGATTTCTCTAAGGCTACACTTAGTCTTTTCAACAAATGAAGTTGCACATTTTCTGTATTTTGGGGCTAAGGAAAATTCTGGTCAGTAGGGATTCAAAAATGGTTAAGGTTCTTTACCCTGGGTTTGGATCACAAAAATTACATTTGCCCAAAAGTCACTAAGATGGGGGCTATAACTGGCCACAGAATACACTGTAATGGAGTAGAGGGGGTTCTGATGGGAGTGGCACATACCCAGCAAATTAGACCCAACTACCCCCCTGCCCCTCCCCCCCGAGTCAGTTGTATGATATTTTCCTTGACATCACCTGACGGGAAATGGCAAGATTCTCCTGGAAACAAAACCGCTCACCTCCAAAGGGGTCAGAGGTAAGGTGTAAATTTTACAATTAAATAAAAGTAAACAATAAAGTTTTTCTACCCACCAGGGCCTGCTGCTGCAGCTGAGGGACTGGTGAGAACTATGGGTATGGCAGGAGGTCCTGGAAGTGTTGTTGGCGCAATTAAAATAGGGGTTTTGCTTGTGCCTGTTGCCATGGCAGCCTAAAGAGTGATCAAAGCTATTAGCAAAGTAAGTTATCAACATAACTAGGAATATGAATCCTGGCCCACATATTTCTTTTAATGCGTATGACACTAATGAAAAAATATAATACTGTAATCAATGCATGTGTGAAATAATGTAACTAAAATCTCTACTCTAGACCTAAAAATCTGTAGTGAATCATAATCACGTTCCTTTTTGAGGTAGGGATGATAAAAAAATCACAGAAGGAGGCACTACCTTTTTTTCATCATCACTTTCACTCATTTAAACAATAACACCACAAAATTAGAGTTAATTCACATCAAATTATTGTACCTTGTAATCAAGTCCCCTTGAGGTTGAATAGTCAAGATCAATTTACTCCATTCACTAACTCAGCTAAAAGATATTAATAAGTAGATAATTTTCATTTCAATTTTCATTATTATTATTATTATTTTATTATTATTATTATAATATTAATTTACCAGTTTTCTTTGTGTCATTGGAAAAATAATAGTATTTAAATTTCATTGTGAAAGGTATGTGACCCCCATACTGTACGTGCAAGAATCAGTTGTACACTTACAATACTGTACCTGCTAGAAACAGTTGTCTGCTGCAACAAGGTCCTTTCATATGCTCACTAATTAGCTGCCCTTTTTCTGATGAGGTGTAAATAGGTAGTCAGCTGCCATCATCATGATTTAAAGGAGTGTGGGTGGAGTTGATATGCCAGGCTTCCAAACAAAGGTGTTGGTGGTAATGTCAATTAGTGGTGATAATGTTAGACCTATCCCTCCCAATTGTATGGTTAGTTAGGCATGTGTGTGCTGACAAAGCTGAGTTTTCTTTTGTGCAAAAGGAGACTGCTTTTTGATGCTCTTTCAAACTGACACACTGACTGGTCTATCCAATATACTTGTGATCACAGTCATTGCATGGAATAGAATGAATAGAGTCGAAAGAACGACGAACCAACAGTATTTATTCTAAAGGGGAGCTAATTAGTAGCATATGAAAGGACCTCTTGTTGCAGTGAGTAGATAACCCCTGATGAAGGCACTAAACAGGAGTTTCAAAACGTTGGGTCTATGAATTGTAACTTCTTGATCACATTCATTAAATCTTTACCCATGAGCAGCATCAAACCATGTCTGATTGTCCACCTGGTTGCCTTGTGAACTTAAATAAATCCAATTTTGATTTATTTAAATTATTTATTGTAAAATAATCCTTCTAACCCTAACCCTAGCGTAAATTGGCCACCGTAAAGAGTTTAAAGGCTGAGGTTTCGAGCGTTAGCCCTTCGTACCCTAAATTTACGTTTCAACTCAGTTGATAACACTATATTACCCTGTTATACTCTCTTACCGACGTAGCACCACAGTTTCTTCAGAAACTTACCCTCTTTATTCTTTCTGGTGTAGTTCACCCTCCTTGCGCGCTTTCACGAAGGAACACGCACGCCCTCACGTTCCACGAGCTCTCGTCACTGAGCTGTCAATAAAATAACAAGACCTTTCCCTTGAAAATTCATCATACTTCAAAAAGGATTCCTGGGTAGTAACACACCAGAAAAAAGATTCGTCTTTGCTCAGCGGAATCGTCCTTTTCAGAGCACGTGTTTTTTATTCCTAGGCCTGCAATACTTTCAGCGGACTAAAAAAAATAACTTATGGCATACTGTATTGTTTGATATATGACGTACTAATAAATTTCACTTGCATCCCGGAAGTCCTACTAAGCTTTCGGTTTACGAATTACTTCGACTGTATTCAAACATGAAATTTTTCAAAGCAGAAGAAAAAAAAATTATGTCAAAGAATCATATGGTTCAGTAGATTTTTTAATCGCTCGAGCCAAGAAGGGTGAAGTATCCTGCCAAATTCACCTTGGTACCGCTTATTCTAGAGGTATCGAAGGATTCGTGGAGAAGGACACTGAGAAAACTATTGGCTGGCTAGACACAGCTGTCCAAAATGGTTGCACTCTTTCCTCGGTAATGCAAGAACTTGGTCATTTGCTGGATTTCACAGGAGAGCCACATAACCAGCGAAAAGCGTACGATTTGTATCACAAGGCAGCGCGTCTGGGAAGTACACCTGCGCAGCTTAATTTGGCTGAAATGTAATTTAGTTTAAGTCTCCCTGTTTTTGGAACAATAACAAAATTCTGAATTCTGTGGATGATTCCCGACAAAAAGCTTTGACATCTTTGTACAAGTATTATCTTATAGGAGATTACCCAGAAGGGAAACCGCAGCCAACGAAAGCTGTTCACTACTTGACCAGAGCTGCGGAACTAGGAAACACTGAGGCCCAGCTGAAACTTGGACAGATATATCTGGATGGACGTTGTGAGCAGATTAGGGACTTAAGGAAGGCAAAACGTTGGCTTGAAAAAGCTTCTGTAAGCGGTTATGTCGGGGCTAAAGAGGTTGGTTTAATCTGGCAATGTAATGTGAACAATTTAGAAGGAGATACATAATTTGTAATCAATTATCCTAACAGCCTAGGCCGGGAAATATGTGGAGAGCTTGACTTTATAGAAGAATTGCTTGTCAAAATCCGCACCCTCTTTCTTGAAAATTGAGTTAATCAGATCAAATCCTCTCAATTTGAGCTAACAATATCCCTCCAAGCATTGGCAGGAGCTGTTATTTTTATCTTTTGAAGGCTTCATTTGAATTACGCCGAGATTTGCAATTTCCTTTAGTACTCTGAACATTCCAAGGGAATTTAAATCTTAAAGATGACCATGTTCCTTCCATTTAATGTTTCCTTACATGTTCCTAAGATGGCTGCACCAGAAAATCAAACTTCCTTTCCCTGGAGCCGACTCTTAGTCAAAAGCCAGAGAAGGCAAAAGAGGTCAAGTGTCTCCCCAGGACCCCCACCCCCTCCAGATTTAAATTGATGAATTCATTTTTAGTTATTTTTTGCTCCTCTGGAATTTGTTGTTCGTTTTGCTTTGCTTTTGTTTTACCTTTTTTTTTAGGCCCAAAGGGAGAATGCAATCTCTGATTATAATTAAGCACCATAAAAGAATAAAGTATTGCCATAGCTGCTTTATGTATAGCTACAAGGGAGAATTACCAATCAAATAAATACAATTGGTATTCTGTGACTTCAAGATTGTCTCAATACCATTTGTTGACCACTTACTAAATGTATCTTTATTGTTGTTAGTTTCTTCAGCAGTGCCAACTGAATGATGACTTAAAGCATGACAGATCAGATGTTTCAACAAAGGCTTTTAAACAGTCATTTGACATCATGAATGAAAGATTAATAAGGCAGAGAGCTGAGGCAGATAGGCATCCATTTGCAATTTCTAACCCTGTGGTTTTCACAGAATAAATGTTTTGTCAGTTTGATTGGTCCCCAACAGCAAGAATTTATCTTCAAGCTTACAAACTGGTTAAAGAGGGCCTTGAAGTTCTGTGGAAAAGCAACTTCACTGATGAGAGAGGAATTACTCTTATTGCCTATGGATACTTGACTGAAAACTCTATACTTCAAGGATTTCCTATTTTGTCACCCAATATTCTCCAGCTTTGTGAGGAAATTTTAATAAAGAATCCTTGCTTTTTGGAGGGACTCCTTTTGTCCTATGCTTTGCGGGATTTCAAAAGGGAGAAATGTTCAGAAGAAAATTCAAAAACAGAAAACCAAGTAATACTTTGTATAATGAACTTGATCAGTTTTGTCCAGAAGGCAGAACCCAACAGCTCTCCATGTGAAGACCCATTTGAGTTTGATAAGAACTACAGTAGCTGGCTTCATGTCTTGTATTATCATTTAGCAGAGAGAAATCAGGGCTTAAATACCCAAAGCCACTCCAATCTTTGCTTTCCATGAATCAAGTAAACCTTTTTAAAAGTTAAAATTATCATTAAAATGTAATTCAGTCCATGTTAATAACTTTCGATTCTAATTCGTTACGCTAACTAATTTTGGTTCCAACTTGTAGAACCTGCGAAACAGGTCGTATGACAAAGAGGAACGTTTGCACAATCACGTCACGCAATATATCTAGCTCGGTTTGTGCAATTGATTTTGATGGTCGCAGGGAAATGTCGAGTTTGTCGCTCAAAACCGTTGTGGTCCATAAGAGCGTAACATCATTAATGACGGAAACAAATTTGCAGAAAGGAGGGTTAGTTCATCGGGTTCCGTATACTGAATCTCGGGAGAAACTCCAAGAATTATTTCAGAGTGTATGCGTGTTGTTTTGTAAATATAAACACTATAACCTATTTTAACTTGTTTTTGTGTCCTTTTAAGCAACGCGATATGTCTGTTATGACCAGAGTGCCAAATTTTATTCTTTAATTTTGATCTTCTTCACACTGTGCGTAGTTCATGACCTGATATTTCAACGTAAATTATCGAGAAGGCGCCTTCCGATCACCTTTGTCTACTTTGTAAGTCACGCAAGCGCGCGAGCGTCACAACCGATCATGTTTACGCAATGTTTTAGGACCACTCGGCCTCTAATCTCCATTCAGTTGCTGTGAAAACCTAAAATCCTCAACGTAGAAGATAAATGAACGAAGTTTGAGCAGTCAAAAGGAGATCTTAGTCAATTCTAAGAATCATACAAATGATCTTTGACACGAGCGCAATTGAGCAAACACATGGATTTCCGTTGTTTTTAAGAAGTTGGTGGATGGAAGCTAGAGATATACCCGCGGGTTTGAGACAATCTGTGACCTCATTGGTGTATAAACTATGCACTGATATACTTTTTCAGCCCGATTAACGCCTGCATTTTGAGAATTCTTCCGTACAAAGCGGTGAATTTTTGATATGCAAATTGAGGTCGAAGAGAAGGGTCTCCTCTGATCACGCTGGTATGAAAAATATTTCAGCTGAAGTTTCAATATTTTGTCTGTGAACTAACTGAATACACCTTGTAACTTGCGGCAAGATAGAATTCCGTGAGCTACATTGTTGCAGTCGCTGCGCGCTGGACAAAATCTTTGAAATTTACACTTTCGATCGCTGTCCACAGGGGTGGTCTGACAAAAATCATTTTTGGTTTGTGGCGACGCAAAAAAAGAGAATTGGAGAACAACTAAACTATTTTTGAAATATGTGTCCTAAACCCTTTTCATGGGCAAAAAAATAAATTACTTATCATGTACTCAATGCATTAATGATTACTAAGAATCTTTTTTTTTAAAAATAAATAGTAATTTTCAAGTCTGATTACCAAAAAACCGAAAACGAAGGGTTTTGACCATGTGTTGGTGACTGCTTGAGCCCTCAAAAATAGGGGCAGTAGTTAAAATCTTTGGGGTATTTATTGTACCGAGAAACTCTGATGTCTAAATTACACTCAGACATTTACCACTTCTGATAAGGAGCCAAATGATCAAGATAAATTGTCAGTTTTCCTCCTGGCTCAGTAAACATGGCCCAGAAAAAACATTTCTTACTTGTAAACTTGTTTAAAGCTCCAAGAACACCACAGTTCATTATCACGTTGAAGATTTCTGGACTTTGTATAAAACACTTTATAGTGACACTTTGGTCGGAAAGTCCCAGTAACTGCATTGGGTGGCTGTTTAGAGTTTGTGTTTGAATTTTGACGATGAACTCCTTGTTTGGTTCTGGTTTTGGACCCTCTCCAATTCCCACCAAGTGAGAGCCAAACATATGCGGCATTGCTACAAATTCTGACATAGTAAGGGGAATACGGTCAACGTCTACAGCATAACGAGTTTTAAGAGCAAAACATAATGTCTCATGCTTAGGTCTGTGGTTGCGTTGGCATTCCTTACTGCAGTACGATGCAATGAGACACCCTGCGCACTTCATAAACCGCACTGTTTTGTCTCTTTGACGATGACAATAAGTGCAGTCATTGCTAAGTCGTTCAACCAGCTCTCTGGGATGATACAAGCCTTCCTCATTGTTAAATTGTTTATTTTCTTTTAGAATGGGAGGCTTTGAATAAAAATGCGTTTCACCCTCCGGAAGAGCATCAGCCTCTATGACGTCAGGTAAACTGTCATCAATAGTCGCGCCACCATCTTTGAATTGATGCTCAAGCCAAGGGCCACTGTGATCTCTTACAATATTTCTCTTTAGATGAACCCTTCCAGAATAATTGACACCAATAAAAATTCCTCCACACTTGTTACCAGTGAGTTTATTTCCTACTATGAGTGCCGATGTTCGCCCTTTAGCGAGGATACCCCAGAATCCATTCTCGAAAATCTCATTTTTGCTAATAAGAACTTGAGAATTGTCATGATCAAGGGAAATACCAAAGGGTCTGTTGTGATGGATACTGTTGTTGCGTAGGGTTATCTTCTCTTTTGTATCGACAACAAAAATGCCTACCTTTACATTTTCAAAAATCTTATTGTCGTTGAGGTCACATTTCCCAGAGAGCTTCCAAATCAGAATGCCGTGATTACCATTATTGAATATCTTATTTCCAATAGCTTCAAGTTCTCCTCCTTCCCTTGCCTCTAATCCAGATTGGTGGTTCTTGTACACCTTACAGTTTTTAACCAATAGTCGAGAACCTTTCCCACAAACAAGAGCACCTCCACCCCCACACCTATGAATTACACAGTTTTCAATCAATCCAGAGCTCTCGTCTGAAATGTCGACTCCCGGAAAGCCAACTATGCCAGACATTGAACGACCAAACCTTCCTGTCCGATCACAAGCAAGTTTCCCTAAAGAGGGCGCCATACAGCCTGGACCTCCGTTACATTCTGGAAAGTCCTCACAACTTGTCCTTCCTCCTGAAATCTCACACTGATTTAAGTGTACAGCGCCATTGTTTCCACGGCAGATTAGAGCAACATTCCCTCTAGGAAACACAATATTTTCAAAATAGCATTTGGCGTTATTAATTTGGCAAAACTTTGCACAATTTAAGTAAGTGTGGGGTCCGAGACCTACAATCTGAAGGTCATTTACAATTCCAAAGGCACTAAGATGGTACTCTCTTTCGTGTAACAACAAGGTTTCGTTTCTTCGAGTCGTCGTCAAAGCATAAGCTAGCTGCTTTTCATTGTATATCTCTCTGATACGAAGAACTAGCACTTCGGGAAACATTCGGGAAAACGTTTCGTCTTGGCGGAGAGTGGGATCGAAGTGAAGGGCAACGGCCACAGCTGCACGTTTCTGCCCTTCGAGCTCACTATTTCCACCTTCAACAAGTTCTCGCAGGGCCCAAGCCTTTCGTTGAAGTGCTTTGCTGTAATCAGGTTTTAGATCAAGGCATTTTTGACAATCTTCCAGAGCATTTCTTGGTTTTCCCAGTTTCAAATGGCAGAGGGCCCTGTTACAAAACAAGCGGTGGTCATTAGGCCACAAATCAATGGCTCTTGCATAAAGATCCAGTGCTTCTTTGAGCTTGCTATTTTTAAATGCATTGTTTCCTTTTTCTCTGAGTTGGTCGGCTTCCTTCTTCCTTTCGTTATCTTCAGCCACAGCCTCATTTTCAGAGGGAGGATTTCTCATACAACAAGTTATCACCTTGTAGTCCTTGTCTTTTAAAGGTACATCAACAAAATAATGCGGCAAGTTGCAATCTTCCTCAGGGGTTGGCTTTTCAAGGTGTACTAACAACTCTAGTTTCTTTTTTTGCATTGCCTGAGCTTTCACTTTCTCCTGCGAAACACTAAAAAATATCGCTGCTTCGTTAAAGATACGAACAGTTGCATCAGTGTAGAGCAAAGTACGCAAACTTTCGACATCATGTTCATGTTTCGCCAGGTAGCTAAGCAAATGCTCTTGCAAATAGGTCGAGTGCGAAGCCAGCTTGCCCCACAGTTGTAACGAAGGAGGATTCTCGACGCTGAAAACAGCATCTTCAACGAAACTTTGGCAGACTTCAGCTGGCGAGCGTGTTTTTGTTAATGCATGGTTAAATGCGTGCACCGCACAGCAAAGTATACGCACTTCAGTTTTGTCCTTTTCAATCTCACTTCGGATAACGTCTTGCACCAGACGATGAACACTGAAAGAATCTGTCCCATACCTTTGAAAAAGGGAAAACTTTGTAAGCAGCGACACTGTCTCGGCTGCATCCCACAAATCGCTTACTTCCTGGCCGGAAGTTCCCACAACGTGGAGCCCTTCGTTTATAACCTGATAAGGAATATCATCGGGACCTAGGTAGGCAGACATTTTCATGACAATTGAGGGGGTTTCTCCAAGATCCATCTCTTCTGAAATTTGCATAACGTACTCAAAATTTAACGACCATGTTGTGTGAACTGCCAATCTCTCAGGTGATGTATTTTCCACCAGATTACGAGCCTTCTTCTTCTTCAAAAGAAGCATCTTTTGTTTTCTATACTTCTTCAGATATTCTTTGATAGGCTGGCGAAGGGATCTGATATAAGCAGCAGCTTGATCAAGAGCTAAGGGCAGTCCGCCAAGGTCTCCAACCAACTCACGAAAATCTTTGTCTTCTCCGGCTGTCCCATCTCTTGTTTTTAAAAACTGAACTCCTTCTTCCTCCGTGAAGCATTTCAACTCAATACAAGAGCTTTCTTCGATTCCCATTTCTTCTCCGATTTCCGTTGCTTCTCTCCTTGTGGTTATGATGATATGACCACGTGCAGCCTGTTTCCAATGACCAGTCAGCAGTTTTCGCATATCCGTGGACATTTCTAACTCGTCCAGATTGTCAACCACCAGACACCACAGCTGCTCGCGCTTTCTCAACCAGTCCAAGGTTCTTGACAGCGAATTAGGAAAGTCTTTGTCATCCAAAGTTCCAACTTGACGTGCCATCTCGCTGACAGACAACTGAAAAAGGTTGTTGT